TAATGGTAAAATTATTTTTCTCTTTCCACCACATCAGTTGATAATGGCTAAGGAGAGAAAAAAAAAGATTTAATATTATAATAATATACTACTCGTAGTATAAATTTTTTTTATTTGTTTTCCTGGAGAGATTTTCTTTTTCAGCAACATAAGAGAATGATTACTCATATATATATATATATGTATATATATATATGAGTTTTATTTTTCTCATGTTGCATGAGATAAATTATCTCATGCAACACACAAAAAGTGTATGAGACCCACTAAAAAAGAGAGAGAGAAAATAAAAAAGTGGGTCACATCTACTTTTTTTGTGTGTTGCATGAGACAAATTTGTCTCAAGCAACATGAGAAAAATAAAACCTTATATATATATATATATAGGTCAGGATCATTTTACACTAGTGTAAGTTATACTCTCAATCTTGTTCATTGATCTCATTTATATCTAAAGGCTCAAATTTTTTAGTAATGTGAGCCATTGGATACAAGTAGATCAATGGTCAAGATTGAATGTAAGACTTCTAACTCTTATACCGGTGTAAGAATATCCTGTCCCTATATATATATATCGGAAAAATGTTTGTCATTTTAAATTACATAACTTTGTGTCATTTTTAATGAAACTACGTTGTTTTGGTGTGTTTTTACATTCTCTTTCCTCCATTTTCTTTTTATTTCTAATTTTATAAATTAGAGAAAATGACAAAACACACCAAAACAACGTAATTTTATTAAAAATGACACAAAGTTATGTCATTTAAAATTACAAACACTAAACCCTATATATATATATATATATATATATATATATATATATATATTAGGTGGATAAACCAAAGTTGGATATTATTGATGTGTTATATAGGTCAAGCCTTAATATTATCGGGCAAGGTCAATTTTTTTTTAAAAGTTAAGCAAGGCAAAACAATAGGCCTATATCAAGTTAGGCTAAAGGTTAATGTAAATTTTGATATAACCTTATCCGTTTTCCTGCGTAGCAAGAGCTAATGCCCCTACTTGTTCCATTTGTTGAAAATCGATGATCACACAAATCGCAAATAAAAAGAGAGAATAGATACAAAGATTTATCCTGGTTAATCCAATTTAGGTTACGTCCAGCTTGTCTGTACTATATTCGTCTCACCGTCAATCGTTACAAGTCAATCGGTTTACAAGAAAAATATAAATAGGATTAGAAAATCCTAGCAGCAGCTATTCATGAGCCCAAGTTTAAATTACTAAAAAAGTTACAATAAATCAGAGGCCCACAACAGTACCTAGCCTCTACGGGCCTGTGAACACTGCCCCCGGTCCCTCGTCTGCTTACCTGGAAGCGAGACCCCAGTTACGTTTATACTGACCCCAACAATTCTCATCAACGTACGAAATATGAGTCATACACAATACTATGTTGGATGGGACAAATGCCATTTGCATACAAATTTTTGCTAATCAATTTTTTTAAATGTGTAGTTGGACTTTTAAAAGTGATCAGTGGGCACTTAGGATATATCTTTAATTCGAAATCTAATATCCTTCACCACTGTGGCTATCTAAAACAAAATACTGCTATGAGCAGAGCATTTTCGTGTGAATTACATGAGTAAATTGGACCGTGGCTTTAGACACGGAGAACTTTTGCAATATTATGTATGTTGATATTTCTTCCTCATGTTTATTTTATGAGTAAAGTGTATGTCATTTTAAAAGATGTAAAGTTGTGTCATTTTAAGTGAGAGAAAGATATAGATAAAGGAGGAGAGAGTGGACAAAAAAATAAAATAAAAGTATGGATCTCATCTCTTTGTGAGAGTGAAAAGATATAAGTTGTGTCATTTAAAAGGATAAACACTTTTTCCTTATTTTATATAAAGTATAAAGCATTGCTTTCTTTATTTTTTCACTTGTAGATTTCCAAATACTAGGACCACATCGAGTCATAACCTTTCTTTTGCTCTCGAATTTTATTGTTTATTTCCAGTTTTTTTTATCTTTAGTTGTCAGACTTTTGCGTCCTTCTAAATTCTATTATTCTAATATTATTCCATTCCTTCAAAATTCCGATCTCATTTCGGACTTTCCAACTATTTGTTTATCCATGTCCAAGTTCAAGACATTAATTATTGCTAATCTTAGATGTGATACGATCATACGAAGTAAATATTTTTACTTTTTAAGCATCTTATCCAACTTTCTTTAATAAATAGAAGAAAAAGGAAATATTTTTTTAAAGGAAATAATATTTTTCGTGTTATAAAAAATAAATTTTATTTTCTACACATATATAAAAGTATGTAAATTTTAGATTTTTTTTTTTTTCTCTTTGTTCTCCGTATATGACTCATTTAAGCCCCAACACAGTTTTATAATATAACATGATTGAAAGGCAAAATATCTTTTAAGCAAATGATACTTCACGTTTTATTCCGATCTCATTTCGAACTTTCCCCCTGTTTGTAAATGCGAAGTAATTAACTATTATTTAACATATGCATTTTATCAAACTATTTTTAATTAATAAAACAAAAAGGAAAAAAGCAAAATGACTTTGAAGTTTGAAACTTTGCTACCCTGTTTTGTTCCTCGCTACCTCAAAAGCTAGCTCAAAGGGTGAGAGTGTCCAAGGTCTTATAAACTCCACATTAGTTGCACATACAACCAATGTGGGACTATATATCTCAATACGCCCCCTCACACAAGAGCCCATTGGGCTTGAAGAGTGGACAATGCAACAGGCTCAGCCTACCTGTGCTAAGAAACGCCACAAGAGAAAGTGGGGGACGGGAGGCTCTGATACCATATTAAGAACTTTGAGGTCACCACCCCAAAAGCTAGCTCAAAGGGTGAGAGTGCCCAAGGCCTTATAAACTCCACATTAATTACACATACAATCAATATGAGACTATATATCTAAGAGACTTGCATAATAGCATTGTGCATCAAATGCTATCTACGATTTTCATTTTTCAACAACTCAACTTGGCCTCATTAGCTGTACCATCTTCCCGTGAGAGCATGATATCATGTTATGCTGATTATATAACATGATGACAAATCTTCACTCATTATATAATGAATAAAATAATAACTTCAAGAGCCAAAAAAGCACATCACGTTGGGCCAATCCGGTCATTTCAGACGACAAAAACTGAGAGGACCAAAAGCAGCATAGTAACCGAAACACGCGCCGATGTACATTCTGATCCATCACCATGTGACATCTCTCAAGCTGAAACAAAACAATCCCTTTCTAGTTTCTACTCTGTTTTTTCAACATTAATTAAATGCCCATTCAATAATTAGGGGAACGATCGGAATTTTGGAATTCAAAACCAAGTAAGAAAATTAACTAATGCCACAACGTTTTTCGTTTGAACATATATAAATTAAAACTAAAATCCCCATTTGTTTATTTTCGGTGCAAAAACGAAGTGCTAACAAACTTGTACCCTTCTATCTTCTCCTATCACTGTTTCTTTATCTCCACTTCTTCCCAGACCAGAATCCGAAAGACCTCTCTCAACTACTTATTCTTCTTCTGTATCTTTCAACATCTGTGTGGGTTTTGATTTTAAATGAAATGTTGGAGAATAAGAGAACCCCAAAGGGAAAGGGGTTCTATGTTAGGATGAAGCTTATGCAAAAACATATTAGGCCTCAACAAGATAAAGTTAGTTACTTTTACACTTATTACAAATGGGTTCTTTGGCTTTCTCTCTCCCTCTATTTCTTTACCTCTTATCTCATCAGCAATAATCACCATACCTACACCCATACCAAACCAACCTCTCAAGACACCCTTTTCCAATCCAACAATAGCGTACCTCGTAACATTCTAGGTAAAAAACACAAATTCGTCATCGACATTTTCAGTTTTTTTTTTTTTTTTTTTTTTTTCTCTTCTTGATGGAGTTCATGATCCATTTTATTGCAGGGAAATTGAATAATTTGAAGGTTTTTATCTACGACCTTCCTCCAAAGTATAACACCGATTGGGTCGTGAACGAGAGATGTAGAAGCCATTTATTTGCGTCGGAAGTGGCTATTCACAGAACATTGTTAACGAGCAACGTGCGCACGTTCGACCCTTATTATGCTGACTTCTTCTTCGTCCCTGTCTACGTGTCCTGCAACTTCAGCACCGTGAATGGTTTTCCTGCGATTGGCCACGCGCGTTCCCTCATCGCCTCCGCGGTGCAACTCGTCTCCACGGAGTACCCTTTCTGGAACCGAAGCAGAGGATCCGACCACGTCTTTGTCGCTTCCCACGATTTCGGCGCATGTTTCCACACCCTCGTACGTAACCAAACGTTGTTCAAAAAATTCGCGTTTCATTAAAAGCGTTCCTTCTTTTTAATAATGGTTTTTTTTTTTTTGTTGTTGCATTTTTTGAAGGAAGACGTGGCCATAACTGAGGGGATACCAGAAATATTGAAAAACTCGATCGTGTTGCAGACGTTCGGCGTTGTGCACAAGCATCCGTGCCAGGACGTTGAGAATGTGGTTATCCCGCCGTACATTTCGCCGGAAAGTGTAGGGAGAACTCTGGAGAAAGCTCCGGTGAACGGACGGCGAGACATTTGGGTGTTCTTCCGTGGCAAAATGGAGGTTCATCCTAAGAACGTCAGTGGACGGTTTTACAGCAAGTAATGACCCCACGAAAATTATTTAATAATTATTAATTAATTAAAGGATTTAGTGTTTGCTTAAATAATATAACTTACGTAATTTTAGGAGAGAGACAGGTACAAATGGAAATCATGGGAGAAACAAAGTGTGGTTTTTTTTAATTTAAAATTGGAAAAGGTTCACCGATGGGGTTTGCTTCAGAATCTCTTATGCCATTGTAGTTTTTTTTCTATCACATATGTTATGCTCTTTTTGTACAAGGTATATTTTTTTATGACATGTGACCTGTGGTTTTTTATTTTTTACAAAGCACATTGGCATATGTGATAAAAAAATTACAGGAGCATAGGTGATTCTGAAGCAAACCACAAGAGCATTAGTAAACGTTTTTCTTTAAAATTTAAATAATTTTTTTTCCTGTGTCTGTCTCTCTTTTAAGAGAACAGAGTATTATCTCATCTAAAATGAGAAACACTTTTTCCTTAATTAAAATGACTTTAATTTAATCTAATCATAGTTGTAATAATCGTGCATTGTACTTTCGCTACCATCGTTGAATTGACCGTTTTTTTTATTTAAAGGGGAGTTCGGACGGTTATATGGAGGAAGTTCAACGGTGACCGGAGGTTTTACCTGCAGAGGAATAGGTTTGCCGGTTACCAGTTGGAAATTGCTCGGTCGGTGTTTTGTTTGTGTCCGTTGGGGTGGGCCCCGTGGAGCCCGAGGCTGGTGGAGTCAGTTGCGTTAGGGTGTGTGCCGGTTGTTATCGCTGATGGGATCCGGTTGCCGTTCCCCTCCGCCGTGAGGTGGTCGGAGATTTCGGTTACGGTGGCGGAGAAGGACGTGGGGAATCTGGCAAATATCCTGGAGCGCGTGGCGGCGACGAACCTCAGTTCCATACAGAGGAACCTGTGGGACCCAAGGACCAGGCGGGCCCTGCTTTTCCACGATGAAGTCCAGGAAGGTGACGCCACGTGGCAGGTTCTGGTTAGTCTGAGTGAGAAGCTGGCTAGGTCCTACCGTAGGTCAATGGACACGTGACGGGTTGGGATTGGGCGAGATGTTTGACAGTTAATGAACCGGTGTCTCCAACGTGGATATATGGATTATGCTCTGCATGACCAACGAGGCAACAAGAATGGTGGATGACAGCTGCAATTAAGGTTTTTGGTTCGAATATTTTCGTGGTGACGTGGAGGGTTCTTGATGAGATGGCAAGCATTGATTCGATGGAGGTGGGATTTGCCAGAGGAGACAGCATCTTTCCTTTGTAAAATCATTTTTTCTGTAAATAAATTATAGTCATAAGGGATATATATAAATGAATTAATAAAAAAATTAAAGTATTAAATATAAAGCAAGTCATTGGGTAAATGTTCTAGAGTGACATGGCAGGGAAATTGGAAGGAGTTAGGAGTTGGGACGTTGAAAATTGAAATGATTGATGAACGTGGATGGAGATGCTGTTGTGTCAGAACTTTACAGTGTTTGTTTGTAATGTGAAATTTGGGTGTCAGTGGTCACGGGCTTGGAAATTGAATGGATGTCAAATATCAAAGGTGGAGAGGGAGAGCATCCAACGTTGCGGTGGCAGACGATTTGGATTTTCACGTTGAAAAATGATAGGGTTGCGTTATTTAATTATAATTATTAATTTAAAAATTATATATTATTTTTTTTCTTATTTTATTATCAAAAAATAATTATAATTAAATAATATGATCACGTAGATATATTTTCACATGAGATCCAAAATAGTATCAGCACAATACATTGTTTTTAAGGGGCTACAGGAATCATTATCGTAAGCAACAGCTGCCGATGTGGTATGTAATTTTCGATGTATTTTTTGTTTGTTTTTTGTACGAATCTGAGCCATACAATACAACAACTCCCAAGAACTTAAATTGGTTTTGCTTGAGATTAGTCATAGTGACGGAGGCTATTTTGTTCTGGTTCCTGGAAAATTTGAGTGGGATCCGCGAATCTTATGTCAACCGGCCAACCAGTGCTTTTTCAATCTTATTAAAACCGATTCGGTGAGTGATCCGGTCGAGGTATTGGATTATTGGGTCACTGGTTCAACTAGTGGATCACTGGTTCAAACGCATGACCCGGTAATTATATGCAATTTTATAATTTATATTAAAAAATTATAAACATTCAAATATCTAAAAAAAATGATAAAAATTTCAAATATTTTAATATAAAAAATAATAAATGACATATTATTATCCAATAAAAGATCAAACAAAAATATAATGATCGTGATACGGGACTTTAGGTTAAGAAAATGACATCTCTAACTATAAATCAAATCAAAATTTTCTACATAGTGCAAAATTGAGATAATATTAGTGTTGTAGGTACATAGCTTATATAAGTCAATAAGCAAAAAAAATATTCAAATATGTCCATTATGATTTTTTTTTGAAAAAAAAAATTTAGATTTTTTTTTTGTGACCACCGGTTAACCGACCAGGTCACCGGTTTTCATGAAAACCGACCGAGTCGGACCGGTCGACCGGTTCTGATGCATAACCGGTCCGTTGCTTCAACCGGACCAATTATATGACCGGTTTCCGAGTCAACCCAGCCGAATCGGTCCGGGTTTCATAACACTGCTTTCAGTTGCCATTTGCAACATTTTATCGTCACAGCCTCAGAGGTTCTTAAAAGTTGTTCCTTATATTGTCTGAACAGTGATTAAAGTGTTATTTTTCAACAAATTTTTAATTTAAATATCATGCGAATAATATTTTTTTATCAGACTCTCACACGATATAATTCGCTATGACAGGTAGCGAACTTCGTCGCTTATGATTTCGTGACACATGGCCACATTGCGTACCAAATTCGCTCTCACTAATATCAAACTTCCTCTAGTCAGATTTCTTCTACATAAATGTGTCAAGTGTCATAAAATCATTGACGAACGTAATTTGCTACCAGTCATAACAAATTACATCATGTAACAATTTGGTAATAAATATTGTTCGTGTGTCAAAAAACTCGTCAAAAGGTGACATTTTGATCGATATTCCTATGTTATCTTCTGTCTAAATGAGCAATTGGCGCTCCTTACTTGCTTAAATTTTTTATGTTGCTAATAATTTAAACGTTATTTTAAATATGTGGGTAATAAGTTACTGTTCATAAAAAAAATTCCATAGGAAGGCATGTCAGCAAGTAATTTTTCAAAAATAAGTTGTGCTAACAGAGCAAAAGAGAACAAAATATCAAATTGGGAGGAAAAGTCTGCTAGAATAAATAAAAGAATATACTTATAGGTTTGAAGAATGAATATTAAACTCATGATTCTGTGATCTGGAACTTTGATATATAAACAATCATCTCAAAAAATATTTAAATTATTAAATGAAAGTCCATAAATATTTTTTTTATATTTTATTTCCCTCATACTCTATAATACAATAACCTAAAATTAAGATTTCATGTGTAGTGGGGACTGGGGAGACAAACACCGCTATGAACCAAATAAAATCGTACGATAAATTGCTGTAACTACCAAGCTCAGATGGGAGGATAAAATAATAAGCCATGAAACTAATACACTACCAAATTAGCGTCAATACTAAGTGAACAAAGCATAAAAGGCTTTAGTAGACCAGTATGATTCATGGCTTTAGATATAAACTCGGCACAACTTACAATGGAGAATGTTTGACTCCTGGTGTTATTTTGACGTATATAGAAAACATATTCGCGAGGAGCTTGAGGATGAATATAATAATTTGAATATTGGTAAATCGTTGACAAACATGATCACATTAATCAAAGACTTTTCTACCTATATGTATTTTAGATAGAATATTCTATCCCCAAATAAAACTAAAAAGAGAGAGAAAAATAAAAATAAAAAGCCCACTACCAATCTACCATCTCTCCAGGCCTGACTAATAAAATATTGAATGGGCTAGGCCCTTTCAGGCGATCTTGCTCTTTAACCTCACACTATTATTCTGGGCCCATTTTTCTCTTCTCTTTTTCTACCATGTTTCATATTTGGACTTTTTGGAAAGGGAGCTTCAGAGTTCAGAGAGAGCAGAAAGGAAGGGTGACATTTTTTCCAGTAGCCGCCACAGGTGCGGTATCAATCACGCGGTGGAAAAAACCTTATATACATTGATAGATTTTTTGTGCTTAATCACAAAAATTGGTGGTTTTATTTGTAAATTGAGAACATGCCACAGTAGCTTGGGTTTCTGAACAAAGACAAAGACAATAAATTTCGGTGAAATATTTGAAATCATATATGTCCTAAAATAGAAAAAGGCACATGGGAAAAAAATGAAATGGCATATTTAGCTTCCAAAGCTTTCCATAGTATTAGTAGAACATAGGTGAAGTAGTTAGTGTTGGGTCCCTTTACAACGAGAATAAAAATAAGAAAGTGAACATACAAACTAAATTATATAAGAGGAATAATGCTAGTCGTGGCTTTAATGATCGAAAGTTTGAGGTGAGAGATGATTGCATGATTTAATGTATAGCTCTATCCGTACTTGCTTATTCAAATGCTAAATTCATTCATGTGACATTTGACAATGCCACAACTGGACAAGCAGTAGCACGACAAAGTAAAATTTATGGTCATTCTCAAGTTCACATGGAAATTTAACGTAAGAGATTGTGTAAGATGAGATTATTAAGGGGAAGAAAGTTGGCTCACATGGTTTGATAGCCTTCATCCTAGCTTTGCTGTAAGCCATTCGTGATTTAAAATAATATCGAACACACCACATGATCGATAAGGCATCTTTTTTATCTTGAAGGAGCATAGTTAAGAGTTATATTCATTACATCGGCATGTCTTATTAATTTGATGGTAAGTTAGTTGTTTGTCTTTACTATGATTTAAGTTTTTTTCTTTGTCTTGCCTTATCCATACTCGTTTCTCCTTTCTCTCTAATGTATACTCGTTTAGGGGTGTTTGGTAAGTGGATTTTTTTTTTGAGGATGCTAGTAGAGTGGTAGATGAAATTCACAAATGACTATGTTTGGTATGGAGTAGGAAAGATTTGTCTAGAAAAAAATGTTGGTTGGAAAATTTTTGTAATGTAAAAATGAAGGAAAATGCCTACTTGGGAATACCACTTTGACGGTGGTATTTTGATTTTCCCAACAAACTCAAACTTGTACAATTTTACATCAAAATTTTCTGATAATATTTTGGCCTATCAAATAATTCTTTTTTAATTTTTCCACTTTTTCTTCAATAATTATATTTATGTGGATAAAAAAAAATTTCTTTTCTACGAAACACCCCGTCAGTGTATCCTATTAGCTTAACCTTCTACCTGTCCAAGTGTTCCAGAAATTGGAAAAATATATACGCATAATATTAGGATGTGGCCCATTCTCTTATCATTATTAATGAAACACTCTTTGGCATGGGCTACCGACAATAGCAGAATAGAACATAGTTAGTTCTATGCAATCACAGATTGAATAATTATTTTGCGGGTCCAATTTAGCAACAAAAGTTCAAAAGAAGGTTCCTTTGAACTGCTTACTTTAAAGGGCACAAAGTCTTTTTCTCATTTATGATACCCAAACATGTATTAGGAAAGCATCCAAATATGTTTATTTCAGCAGGAAAAGGACCAAAGTAATGGTACAACACAATTACAAAAACAACAAAAACATCTCAATCCTTTTTTGTGGGGGGGGCCATGGACGCTCACTGTTCTTTCAATTACACTTAGCACTGGAAGGTGGGACCATCTCAAAAACTTACCCCTGAACAAACTGTTTTTGGTAATAACATAGGGAAAGGTAAAAGGTAACTTTGAAACACACCAATAGTTGAACTAATAAAACCAAACCTTAGCACTCTGGAGTAAGTGTACGGTCTCTCCTAGGATCATGGCAATAGTCATAGACCAAGTAATTGTTTTGGACCCATTGCATTGCAGCAAACTGCTGAGGGCTCAGGCTGCCATAGCCTGAGGGTGATGCTGAGGGTGGCTGGCACGAGGTGGAGTCTTCAATGGTACAACCTTGCAGTTTGAAGTTTGTGTATCTACCAATGAAGGGTTGGTATTTATAATCAGCTTTGTATTTTCCTTCCTCTGTAGCCCATGAAGATGCATCCCATATTGAACCGTACACATACATTGGTCTTGCAGGGAACGTAGCATCACTCTTCCTAGGATACCTCCTTATTGGAACATCATCCACTAAAAATCTGCGTTAACATATAAGACAAACTAGTAAGTAAGCAACATATAAAAATGGGAAATAGTTTTCACATTTTTCTCTTAGAAATTTTTTTCATGCTACACTCACAATATATGAGTGGTCTCATCTTGACTTTTTTATCTTATTATCTTTTTGTGAACCCTATTATGTATTATGTGCATAATATGAAAAAAAATTCTCATGTAAAATGAAAAAATTAATTGTCTATCAAAATTTAGATCCCGCAAGCAAGATTTTATCATTATTAATCACAGTGCTTTCTTGCAAAAATACATGCATCTTTGCACAATAGTCATCATCACATAATAAGCTATGAATGATTGAGTGACGCAAAAAAAGGCTACATGCACAGTTTTTATCTCTTTATTGACAAAATCGATAAAAGATTAACGGGTATATTTTAAAGGGGACCACATTCCATTATTGTATTGAAATCGTCTTTTCAATAAAATATCTTAAGCAAGCGTTTGTAATTGGGCAAGATTGTTGTTGAACCTTATAATAAATAAAAGAAAGGGACTTATATTTATAAATTCTTACAAACTACATTAAGGTTGACTGGTCATACTTCAATTAAAATTGTATGACCGGTCATACTTAGTGTAATATGTAAAAAAAATTTGTAGACGAATCCTTCCCAAAAAAAGAATAAGAATAATTCACAAAAATTTTAAACCAAGGTTTTTTTTTATGTGTGTCACAATTTAGGCATGGCTAATAGATATGTAAACAAATTAAAGTCATAAGTATGTTGAAATTTGGACTATTGATGAGGATGATGGCAGTGCATGAAAATGTTACATGATCTCACTGGGTTTCCATAGAACAGCATAGTTATGAAAATTTTGTGTTGGGTCGAACCAAAGATGGAACTGCATCTCTCTTCCTATAATATTCCCATCTCCACTTCCTCTGATGTATAAATTTGTCTGCAAGACATATGGCTTATCTGGTCTGGTACCAAGGAACTCAATATCTATTTCATCATGGTTTCCTGGGTAATCTTGGTTGTTTGAAAGCTACAATTCCCAAAATGAAACAACAACAAAGAAAAAAAGATCAATAACTGCACACATTAAAAAAAAAAAAAAAGGGTTTAACTCAATGTTCAACATTAGCTGAAGTTAGTGAGTAATCCTCACGTAGATAGATGTAATGACTCCTGCAGTATAACCGGATTGAAGCTTAATCGCAGCACCAAAGTATCCAGATCGATAAGAATGACGTGACTTGAATCCACTCCCTTGTGTTTCAAAAAAGTGCTAGTAAGAATATACACCAAGGTAGTGATAATAGTGATAGTGAAAGAACGAGACTTTTAATTTTTAATAGATAAATAAAAAAAGAAGCATATGTCGTTGGATTTAACTATTTAAGTGAAGTTACGAGTTCATGTGAGACATTTAAGTACCTGAGGTAGAGTCAAGCCAGATTGTTAGTGAGCCCTGGTCTAGTCTCTGATGCTGAGGTCCCCAAAGGTTTCTAAATCCTTGATCAAAGCTAACAGGAACAATTTTGGAACTAGGGTAGTAGCCAGGTGAAGGTGGACCCTGAGAACTACAACAACAAATCATGAGTGAGAATATAAGATAGAAGAGAGGAACCATACGGAGGAAAGTGTTAAGTGATGATGATGGCATTGTAGTAACCAGAGTGACTCTGCTAAAATTGCATGAAGGGTCAGAAGATTTGAGGTATATTTGATGCTCATGAAAGAGTATGACTAACAGTTGATATATATAAGGATTTGGAGTCCCCACGGTACCAAAGTTGTGATTACTTGATTGATTGGGGAATTATAAACGGGGACAAAAGTTTATCAAGTTTGTGATAATAAACAAGTGGGGGGAATAGTTCAATTTGTAATATGGCCTTTTTTTCTTTTCATTTCTTCTTGAGAAGGGATTTCATTTTCTAGTGGATAAATGTTTGTATATTGCATCATTTGGGAAGGAAAATATTGAGGAATGACACCTTAATGGTTTCCTTCGTGACATTGATTTGGTTACCTCTGAAAATGTGATAGATGTGTATGGTTTGCCTTAACAAATCTTTAAATATTATCATAGAACACTTGGACAAGGTAAATAATGAAGAGAAAACCTTGCAGAACTTATGTATCTCCTATTCATGAATGAGAAATTTCTTGTGGTACTTTCACAGTTTCATTCAATATTTTCTTGCAACTGTACAATTATGGTTGTTATGGTACTGAAGTAATTTAGGTTGATACAAAAATGAAATTTAGTTTGGGAGACTCTCTTCCAGTATAGTGCCACAGCTAAGAGTGAGGGTTAGAATTATGAGGCCATAACACCAAGACCTGTGAAAAAAATGCGTTTAAAAACTCATTATTTTTGTATAACATCATATACATGAACCTTTATTGTGTATTGTAATACAGTTTAAATTAGATGCATTGTGGGGATTTAATAATTGGCGGAATGGTTTTTAGTCAACACTCATTGAGCAACTTGGGAGAAATTTATAACCACCACAGCCTATTATATTTAGCGTGCTTTTGACTTCTTTTTTTCCTCTTGGAATATCAACTTGAAGCATCTTCCCTTTATGCTTAAAATTTAATTCTGTGACTTCACCACAGTGTCTGCAACATCCATCAACTTGGAAATTTTCAATCTAACCATACAATAAAATTACGGGTGTTCTTTCTAACTGCCTATGGTCTTTTGTTGATCATAAAAAGCAACAGTGTCCAATCTCAACAACTTAGATATAGAGATAACAAAAGTTATGGTGGTTTTGTGAACTTCAAAGGAAACTTGTCTTATAGTTGTTAGCAAAATGAGGAGGTTATGTGACTCCATAACAGTGTATCAATCAAGGGCGTTGAAAAGTGCCATTTTTAATCTGCAGCTGTTCTGATTATGTTGGCAAATTCTCCAGGTCACCCCACTTATACAAAGCAGGTGAAGTTTTTTTTTTTATATAAAATTATAGAGAAAGTTTTGAGTGCATGAAGTGAGGATTGCTCATTTATTATTTTTTCAGTAAATAATATGGGGCTATATAATTTTTTTTGGTACTTCTGGCAAGAAATATTGTTCTTTTGTGATGGGTCATGGATTAGGATTAGAGCATGAGAAATAGACTTTTTCCAAAAATGCAGGGTAAAGTTGCTTACGGTCAATCATTATCCATATCCTCACAAAATCAAAGAGCTTTGTGCATGGAGGGTTTGTCATTTCAGGCTAAAAATATTGCTCAAATTAAGTATAGCAGCAAATGGTTGAGCCATCCTCGTTGGATAATGGATAGGACTAGCTCAGTTGGCGTATAAGAGCTGAACAGATGAGAACATTTGTTCGACATCATGTTCTTCTTTTTTTGATAATATCATCTTCTTCCTTTTTCGATATCATCTTTAGGAGGATAGTTGTGGTTTATAAAAAAGAAAAAGAAAACAATCCAACAACTCAAGTTGTTATCTACATACTCATCCACAATGTAAATGCATCTCCATATGTTTCGCAGTTCTGTTTCCATGATTTATGGTACAAGATAATTGTCAATCCTTTTCCCTTCGTGAAAAGGTATTCTAGTAATGTAAATGGTTATTGCTCCAAAAAAGCTATGGTAGATCTAATTTTAGAGGAGTTCTTCTGTAATCCTTTTTTTTTTTTTGTATACAATTCTTCTGTAATCCTAGCCGAAAACTTTTCTTCCTTTATTTTTTTTTTTTTGGGTAAAGAACACTTGTCTATAAAGAACACTTTTTGGGTAAGGATAGTTATGATATTAGAGTTTTTCTAATTTAAAATAGAGCTACTTTATTGTCATCTCATTCAGATATTAATTACTCAGGAATAACTTATGAAAATATAACTAAAATCAACAATATCAATTACTTGTATGAGAGAACCTCTTTATAGACAATGACACAAATACTTGTTGGATTATTTTTGGGTGGGGCCTATGGGATTTAGTGCGGTATCCTTCTATCAGAAAGCAAGAAGTTATGGCCAAGTTAATGCACCATGTTAATCTGTACTATCAAAAAGTTAAAAAACCATAAAGTGAGATGATGAGGCTTATAAATCTATGAGAGCGTTGAATGTAAATAATTTTAAGGACCATGTGGTATGTGTTTCAAGTCTCCCAACCCGCAAACAACGTAGAATTGACTCCCACATGAGCTTTCTAGACATGGTGAAATTAACTACCATGAAAGAGTAACACTTTATGTTCGTTATTGTGCTTTATCTTCAATAGCTGAAACAAAATAGATAGACTGAACAAGCTGCTCAAATTCAAAGGCACATGCCCCCAAACAATTTACTGGTTTGTACATTGTTAGGGAAAAAATGATCATGCTGTTAGTTTCAAATTCAATTGTTTGGTGATGGCCAAATAATAATTTAACTCATTAATTGTTTCATCATAATCATTTTTGTGCTTCAAAATAAAACTAAAGTACCACGTTAAAGATTTAAAATACTAGTCTTTGGCATATAGCTCAACATGTGAAATCTAAAAAATGTAGACAGCAAAGCTTAACTTCTAAAAAATATCATTAATACTCGGTATGATTATGTCCAAGAACGTGTGCATAACAATTATTATGTTCCTTGGCCTTGTTTCTGGGTAGAAATATTTTTCCTTTTATTTCTATGTTTAGGAAAAATTTTCAGGCGTGAAAATATGTTTCATACACATTTAATAAACAGAAAAATATTTCTGCAATTAATGCAGATAAGTTATTTGCATTTACTTTCAAAATGATATCGTTTTGGGATTAATAGATTAGAAAATTATAATTATAAAGACTATAATAACCCTGAAATAAATTAAAATTACAAAAACACCATATTTTCCGTCCCAAAACGACGTCGTATTGGGCTTACTGCAGATAACTTATCTGCATAACTGCAGAAAAAGTGAACGCTTTAATAAATTGAAAGAGAGTTTATTTTGTTCTAATGTATGTATTTAATAAATAATGTGTTTAGGAATGAAAAAAAATTATTTCTTTTCTTTCTTTTTTCCAAATCTTGTTCCTAGCTACCAATTCATTCTTTGTAATAGAAAAATAAATTAGTTTTATCAAACACTATTTCAAAAATAAATTAGTTTTATAAAAAAAATTAAAAAAATTGATAAAAAAAAACCTTTTTTAGGAACATCATCATTCATGTACATTTTTAGGATACCCAATTTTTAGCGATGTTTCACATGAGAGTAGATCTTCTTACATGTTATTTAACATAACTATGTCATGTGATAATATCCTAATTATATAAGCATGGATCAATAATAATAAGGGGAGAGAGAAAAAATATCGAGATAGAAGGTTATAAAATCATAATTGATTATTTATTCATTGATAATTAAGATCCTTCCACATAGGGGTGTTCATCAACCGATTCAAACCGCGGTGACCGAACCGAAAAATCGAAAACCGAAAATTTTAATTGGATTTGATCGGTTTTCAGATTGATTGATGAAAACCGATCCAATATATTAATTCTCCTCTACCTACTTGGGTCTTTCCCCAATCATAGTCCAAAAATTTCTAAACCCAAGACCCATTAATCTATCAACTAAACTCAAGAAAAAACCTAGTCATATCTCATCAATAAAATCTTTTCTGTGTAGAGCTTCATATCTCGTTGTCCCGAAAAAAAAACTATATTATTGTTTACTGATGTTTTTGTATTTCACAAAAAAAAATACAAAGCCAATATATACAAAAGATGTTATTTGTACAATAATCATGGAAAAAAATTAGAATTTTCAAAATACCAAAAACCGATCCAATTCTAACCGCAAAAAATTGGTTTGGATCGGATCGGATTTGAAAAAACGTCCAAACCAAATGGATGATTACATGATCAAACCGAAGGGATTGGATCAGATGATTTTTCTTCCAAAACCGATTCAATCCAGACCGCGAATACCCTTACTTCGAGATAACATAATCATATTAAATAACACATAAGATGATTCATTTTCGTTCCACAAAGAGATTTTACTTTATTTAAAATATAGGCAACAAGACTTGAATTCTTTTATCCAAAAAATAAAATGAAAAATAAAATCATAGTTCTATACAATATTTTAAAAATCGGCTTGAACCTGCCAGGTTGACCCGAGTCTCGGTGATCCCATTGGTTCCCTGGTCCGAGCAGTCATTTGAAGCGATTCTGCAGTCAACTCGGTTTGAACCGGTTGATCCGGCGGAGACCCGATGACTCGGTGACCCGATTGGCCCGAGTTAGATCGGTTGACCCTCTTTTTTCTTTCTTTTTTTTGTAAATATTTTTTTGTGTGGTTACTATGAACTCTTGAATTAAATCATGTTCATATTTTATGGTAAATATGATTAAAAAGTAAGGTCAAAATAAGAAGGTATTTTGAATAGTGCAGTTGGTTTATGTAATTTAGTTGTATCTTATAATGATCTAAAGAAGTTAAGTGGGGATAAACACTCATGGTCTCATCTTAACGGTAAAAACTTTCTCCTTATTGTATATTTCATGCCTACTATTTGTTATCATGATTTAGTTTATCTGTGTTATGTCAAGGCACAAAAGGTTTATTTAGCTTACATTGTAATTTTAATCAAATATTAGGATATGGCCTAGAGCTAGAAGCCTAGAAGTATATAATATTTGCTATT